AAGCACCATAATTGTCGTGCGTCTCTTGAATTGAACTACTGTACTCCTAGTACTACTATGTAGGGCTACGCTGTACTACTGTACTGCACGACGTACAGGCCGCCGTACCCTTAATTGCCTGCGTCCTTATACAGTGCCGGGACGCACCACCCGCACACGCTTGTGGAAGTAGAGGTAGAGGTAGTAGAAGCAGCAGCAGTAGCACCACCAGCAGTAGTAGTTGTTGTTGTAGCTGCTGTAGTTCCATGAGTAGGTGGGCGACGACATAGCCATAGCTCATGAGCAACCGTCATGCACCTGAGATGCCACTGAATGGAGGAGTCAACAGTGCACTGTACCGACCAGGAACGGCAACACTTCCCTCATTGATGGCAGACAATGTTTGCAGGCTCTGGCTGCTAAACACCAGCAGTACCCTAGGGCCTTAGTTTTGGGCATCCAGCAAGGTGATCGTGGTCGTTGGCATCATCCTCGCAGTGCTGGCGGCCGCAGTGACCTGTTTGGAGAGTCTAGCACGTAAAGAGTTTGGTCACTGAGCTTCATTGTGGTTCTCGCTATGGAAAGTCCTGGGGTCCAATTCGGCATGACTTGATTGTCTCCGTTGCAAAAAGGTTCAATCAGTAAAGCTGACAGCGCAGGCCCACCTTGGCTAGAGGTTCAAGGTGCACCTGGAAGACCACACGCTCTCATCTTCAACACGTATTCCTGTGTTCGCTTCAACCCGTACAGTCTGTGCTGATTGCAGATCAGGCAGAGATAGCCACAGGTTATCTCCTTCTGTTCTGATGGTCGTGGTTGGTGTGGCTGTGGTTCTTGGTAATCGCATGGGTGGTTGCTCGTGTTGGCGACTTTGAGTGAAATCCATGAAAGAGCACGGCTAATTGGGGGGTGCTTGTAGTGATGCCAAATGATGCCTTTGGCGGCGGTTGCGCCGATTGTGGTCGTATCTGTTCTGTTGGCGAGGGTGGTGATCATGGCGACGGCTGATTGCAGCCCCTGTCCAGATGTCACGTGGTGAATCGGCCTTAGTCGTACACTTGGGATGATAGCCACGGTACGCGTGCATGCCTGCCAGTATTTCGGCACGGACATCATCCAGGGATTGACAGCCCCGCCGGGGGCCCAGCAGTCTGGATATTCGTCAGCGCCTCGAGCTTGAGCCATGCTTCCTAAAACGTCTAGAATACTGATGCCCAAGATCAGAACTCCAAGTCCTGCAGAATGTGTGCGGAAAGTCCTAATGCAGCGAGTCTTATGTTATTACTTCCACCCAACCAATGAAAACATGGCAAAAGCTCAAGCAGTTCAAGCAGTATCATTCGGTTGCATTGTCGATGGACGGTCTAGGAAACGGTTGTTGGAATGAGAGTGTCTGAGATGGGGCACCGTAATATAATATTGTACCCTAAATAGAAGGATCCTTGTAACATATATTAAGGATCCCAAAATACAGTACCCCTAATTTTCGGAAACTCCCGAATAGCTTTGGGTCTTCCGGTTTTGAAGCGTTGCTTGCGTCGTGTCAGTTCTGCCAACTATTCTCGAATTGTCCGGTCTGCACAAGCCGTTCGCCGAGAGGCGTTCGTCGAGCTCTAGAGGAGCTCTGGAGGTATCTACAAGTTGAAGCAAGCTTTCAGAAAGTTCAGCATCAAACCCACCACAGCAGGTCCGCAGCAGACTTTCAACTTCATAGCGGTATTTAAAATTTAAAGTCTCCAGCATCATGGAGCGACCTGGGCGACACCGGCAAGCGTCTTCACTCATCTTTCCGATCAAGGTGGGTGGCTTTGCCACTGTGTACTGGTGCATGTTTCTGCGGTCTGTTGATCTCCAATACTGGGCATCGGTTAGGGAGTGCTGCCCATAATGACTCAAGTCTGGTGGTCAAGGGCATCAGGACTGGATGGGTTGGCAGTGCGGGGTTCCCAGGTGCAGGAGCGGAGAGTGGTCGCAGAGAGGCATCATCCCTAGTAAGAGATGAAATTAGCAATATCTATGTTTTTGTTCGTATACTGCGGCCGTCTGAAGCATTATAAATCCTTCACGGACGCATGAAACCCTGAAGAGCCAAGCCCCTACGAGACATGTTCTCGAGCATATCCTCATCTGCTCTTGTACCGTGTAAAGCTCCGGCAAAGCTTAGAGGTCTGGCGGTTGGCCTTTGTGATCGTACATCGGTAGCAGATCTGAGGGAGTTACAGAATACTCGGCTGATAAGGAAACTGATGTCGACAGCATATAATTCTCGTTACCGTTGTTATGTCATGTCTGACGCGGCTTGAAAGTGAATTCGTCTGTTCATGCAGACAGGTCATGACGGTAGCCACAAGAAGACAGCACACGAGCTCTTCCGATATCACTACAGAACTCACACTGACATCGTCTTCCAGAATGCCGAACGCAAGGATGAAGATTCCCAGCATGCATGCAGGGTCGAGGCCAGCTGTAAATGCAGCCTGGGTCATTTGGAGCCGCATCGATGAAATCATGTCAGAAATGTCGGTGCAGAGACAAATCACGCGCGGACAGGAACAGACACCTGCCCCGACATGAACATAAACCAAGCAATGGCTGAAAAGGAAGGATGTCTGCAATCAATGGCGGACATCTGGCGGATATTTGTCTTGTATGCCTGTGCCCGTGTAGGGTGAGGTCTTTGAGAAACTGACATAAGCCAAAATCTGCAATAACAGGTCCAAGTGACAGTTTTGCCATCACGAGCTCAGGGCTTCAGTTGTCAGCACGAAAACATGCATACCCTGAAAAAGCAGGAAGCAGAGCCCTTGCTGCGTTTATGGCCAGTCCGCATGCAAGGGTGAGTGGGCGGCCATTGTCGTGCTCTTATCAACAAAAATGCAGGCTCCCAATTCAATTTTCTTCTGACGTCATTGTGACAAGCATGACTGATCCCCTACCGCTATTAAATGGAATCATGGGGGGATGTACATGTATCTTCCATTAATCCTCTTCCATTTCTTGTTGTGGTCGAGGGCAGTCCATGCTTGGGGGCCATGAAAATGGAAAACACTATGTCGGACACTGGTTGCTTCCATTTTCCGGGGTGGGGGATAAACCTCATGACTCATGCACACTTCCACACGCACGCACAGACGCAGAAAGATCCCCGTCTACTATAAATCCTGTGATCCTTCAACGACAGAAAGTCAGAGAGAGCGAGAGAGATGGGCATTGCGCAAGTGTCAAGTGTTGGTGTCCGCACATGCCACAGGCATTTTGCCATGAGTCGCAGATGTGCATGAATGGACTGATAATATTCCCACTGTCCCCTACCTGCCATCTCAGGAAACATCAGGAAACCCCAGCTCAAGGGAGGGGCTTGTGATAGTCAGCGGTGCGAAGCTTGAGCCGAGTCGACTTTGCACATTCCTGTCCTGTTGTGGGCTGCTTCGGGGTTGTGGCTGGGTCTCACTTCATTTTCCTATCGGGGTTGCGGTCGCTGGCTTCCTCATGTCCGAGCGATGGATCCTCCGACACGTGTCGTCCCGCATGAGCGGGCCTGATGTCGGCAAACCCATTTGTGGCTTGGCTTCAGCTGATCTGTCCCGTTTCTTGACCCCTCCCCTTGTTCAAGTCCCCGAAGAACCCTCGAAAACATCAGCCGAGATAAATGGGAGCTCGGCATGGAGAGCTTCCGGTCCCATAAGCAAGCTGCGCTGTGGGCGAAGAAGCACGGGCATGAGGCACCATCCACGGTCCTTGCATCAGACACGAAACATCAGTAACATCATGAAGTCGAGGGGTCCTGATGGGCAGGTTCCGCCGACAGAGAAAGAATGGCTGGCGGCCCGCCTCCTGGGTTCGTCAAACATGGCACTTGATACTGCGCTACTGCTCGGAGGCTGAAGCATCAAGGAGGGCAGCTGCATCCGAGGCGAGTGTTGGGGGGGGGAACATGGCACTTGATACTGCGCTACTGCTCGGAGGCTGAAGCATCAAGGAGGGCAGCTGCATCCGAGGCGAGTGTTGGGGGGGGGGGGGTGGAATTAGAAGTTCGGCTGCTTGGCCCAGGCTGTGACAGGTGCTGACCGAGCATCCGTTGAGGTGGGAGCCTTACGAATTCTGGTCGGAGTGACTTGATAATGCACCACTGCTCGCAGGCTGAAGCATCGAGGAGAGCATCTTCCTTCCAGGCCAGTGGTTGTGGGGCGTTGTGGCTTGTGGAATTATGGGATATTATGGGTTGGTTTGCTTGGCCCAGGCTGTCGGAGGTGGTGACGGAGCAGCGATTGAGGTGGGAGCCTTCTTCGGGCATGAGGAGATATGAGGAGGCTCCCAGCCCGAACAGTCGTGCCAGGATGCAGCTGATGATGGGGGGTCGAAGGCCGGGGATTGCACCCTGGCTGTCGCTGGGACTTGTTCGGTCGTTGAGTGATCCAATGAATTATTCGGATAGTCGTGTGTTGCTTGACGGCAGGATGCCGCTGGCGATGGTGGGGACCCGCCAGAGGAGGCGAAGGCGAGCCGGGGATCCAGGAATTGAGAGTTTGGGGCTAGGGTTCTGAGTTCTGAGTGTTGTCGTGGCGACGGTAGTGCCGTGCAGGATCAGTTGAGTCGCAGCTTGAGTGTGTTCGCATGTGCGATGGGTGGCCCAAACAGGGGAAAGCTTGCTTGATTGTGATTATGAGAACTGAATCGCAACTGTGAACACACGGCCTACTGATCCTCTTGATCCACGCTTGTGATCCTATCGATCCGTTTAGGTCCGAGAAGTTTTGATCGTTGATCGGTAGGTATAGGTTACGAATTGCCTATCGATCCTTTAGGTCTGAGCCATCGCCCTGCTTTTACCTGGCTTTGTGTTGGCAATCTTTTCTGCGCCGATTCGCCGATACATCTGGTGGCCTGGCTTTTTTTCTTCGGCGCTGCGATCTTTCTTACCTGGCTAGTGCTGTGCTGGTTTTTTCTTGCCTGGCTCCCGAGCACACTTCGCACTTTTGGCCTCGAGTTGTCTGACACCCTGAGCACAGAAGGCCAAGGCGATGAAAGCTGCGAAGGCCAAGGCGATGAAAGCGATGAAGGCCAAGGCGATGAAAGCGATGAAGGCCAAGGCAAGGCCAGCCATGAAGGCCAAGGCGAAGGCCATGAAGGCGATGAAGTCGCCCGCGGCGATGAAGGCCATGAAGGCCATGAAGGCCGATGACAGGAAAGATGACAGGAAGAAAGATGACGACAAGAAGCCGGACGATGACATGAAGAAAGATGACGACAAGAAGCCGGTCGATGACAGGACAATCGACTGGGCACTCGGCACCGAGTTCGTCCACAGAAGGCACGGGCGCCTGTACGTGGACATCGGAGTGGTCCATGTCGAGACCGGGACTTCGGATCGCTTTTACCACGTGGATGCAAGTGTCCTGACGGTGCAGCGGGCAATAGACCATGTGGCGCCGGCGAACTCAGAGTTCATGGGCATGGCTATGGCTTTCAGGAAGAAGGACAACGACAGCGAGAAAGATGATGACTCGAAGGAAGACGATGACGACAAGAAGGACGGCGCCAGGAAAGACGATGACGACACGAAGAAGGACGATGACAGGAAAGATGACAGGAAGAAAGATGACGACAAGAAGCCGGACGATAACGGTGATGACAAGAAGATGGACAATGACAGCGAGATGATGAGTGATGCGGCAGAGTCAAGTGACACGTCATCGTGAGAGCAGCCGGTCTACTAGGCACAGCACAGCACATGCCTAGGCTAGGTCGAAACTGCTATTGCCCTCTCGTAGACCCCGCACACACACCGGAACTCGTACTACGGTGCTGTGTGTGCTGCCTTGATCTGCTGTGTGAGCTGCTATATGTGTCACACACACACCGTAGCAGCAGCACGGTGTGTTCATATGTTGTGCTGTGCGGTGCTGTGCTGTCGGCCGGGTTGGGTATCAGGCTAGATTCGATATCATGATATCATATGAGGTTCGATGCACACACCGGCAAACGAGGGGTGAGTTTCACGCTGCGGCAATTGTTCTTTGTGATGGAAACAAGCCATGTCGTAGCTTGCTCTCGGGTTTCGGGTCCCTATCCTTCTAAGCCCCAAAGCTAACTCCTGTAAGCCCCTGCTGGCCTTGAAACTCGAGACCGTGAACCCCAAAGCTCAAAGCCCTCAACCCAACAACCCCAAACACCAAATCCCGAAGCTTCCCTTTGGGTTTCGGTTGGGGGTTGGGTCCGAGGTCTCGGGTGGGGTCAGGGTTCCGGGGTCTTGTTCAGACGGAACACCAAACCCCAAAGCTTGAAAGCCCAAACCCCAACCCCCGAACCCCGAAGCCCAACCTCAAACTTGTCAAACCCCAAACCCTAGCCCCCCAACCCCCAAAGCCCAAACCCCTCCTCACCATCCCAACCTCTCTGAGCTCCGCCCTGCTGCAGGTTGCGGATGCTCCTGATCATGGCCGGACCCTGCTTGGAAGTTGGCTGTGGCCGTAGTGGATCCTTGGGGCAGGATGTTGATCCTGCTTCGTCGACTCCATTGCCATGTGCCTGGACCTTGGACGACTGGGACGTTTCGGGCTTGGAGTTGACTTGCTGCTTTGAATCCTTTGTGCCTGGGCAGGCTTCTGCATCCACGATTCACCCAATCCCGGCCCGGACCTTGGCGCCTGGCACCATTGCCCTTCTTCACGAAGTCATCCTGCTGCAGGCTGGCCCACCTCCCGGTCATCCCGATGTAGAGGCTGGCATCATTGAGGCGCTTCGGTTGCAGCTCGCTCTCCTGTGCTTTGTCGGCTGTTGGTCAGGCTCGTGGGCCGGTGATCGACGACAAGGTTGGGTCCAGCATGCATAACCCTCTGTTCCTTTGGAAGCCAGCCTGGACAGGGGACCTCCGGGCAAGCGACGTCGCCTCCTGGACCAGGTGCTCACGTCCTGTTTTGCCTGGCTTCGTCGCATTGCTGTTGCTTCTGTCTGCACGAGTGCACAGCTCAGAAGTGTCAGTGACGGCATGTGACGGCTATCATGGCTCGAGCACCTAGAGAGGGCTTCGTGAGCTTGACCAGAGCTTGGAGGGCATCCGACTGCCCAGCAGCCAGCAGACTGTGACTTTTGGCGGTCAGTTCAACCAGAGCTTGGAGGGCAGCCGAGTGCCCAGCAGCCAGCAGACTTTGACTTTTGGCGGTCAGTTCAACCAGAGCTTGGACGGCGTCCGAATACCCATGAGCCCGAAACGCCGGGCGATCAGGGTTCCGAGATTCTCGGGCGAGCTTCGTGGTGACCTAGAAGTCGTCCGAGATGGGGATCTGGAGATGACGCTGGGATGGCGAGGTGAGCACACACTGCAGTTTCTCTTGAACGAGGCCGCCATGACGTGCTCGGTGGCAAGCAGCGGCAGCGGTTTGATGGCTGGGAGATCGAGGCCATCACCGTGAGGCTTCGCTCTGCTGGGTTCCGTCGCAGTTTCGAGACGACCCTGGAAGAGCATGCAGTTCGTCGCATGCAGCTATGCTGGGCTCGCCGCGGCAAGTTCATGAAGAAGTGCATGGCCAAGCGGAGGGTGCAGAAGGAGCTTCGTCCGAGAGGGTTGTAGGGGCACAACACAACACGACACCACACAGCATCACACAGCATCACACAGCATCACACAGCATCACACAGCACAACACGACAACGCACAGCACAGCACAGCAGAACAGCCCACAGCCACACGACATCAGCAAGCGAGTTTCACCTTGCCTTTCGCGGACGTACCAGAGGGGTGGCTTTCGCATGTGCAAATATTGTCGGCTGTGTGCATCTTTGTCTGGGTATGCCTGCACACGTTTTCCACTGACACGTCCGTGCTGACTCGTGGGCAGGTGCGGGCTCCATGCCACCGTCGGCCGATTCCTGATTGGCCGGGCTGGTCGGGCGCAAGAACCCCGTCGACACCCGGGCAATCCTTGCAGACGCCGTCGCCAAGGAAGCCAGCTTCGGGTGGCCTCCTTCCGGATTGGTCGGCCTGCTCAGCCACGAGATCTCCGATGACACCGAGCCTATCCCAGCAGACACCGTCGCCAAGGAAGCCACCATCGGGTGTCGGTGTTCCGGACTGGTCGGCTTGGTCGGGCACGAGAACTCCAACGAAACCCAGGCGATCCTTTCGGCTGTCTCAGCCATCCCCACCTCGCTGCAAGGACGAGGGGCCTCCTCGATTTGGCCGTGGCCTCGGCGCATCCTCGAAGCAGGAGCCTGGCAAGTACATCAGTGAGACGAATCGCAGCCGGGGCGATGGGAACGACGGGAAGCCGAGCAAGGTTCGACGGCGTGAGAAGATGTGATCCGATCTGATCTCCCGAAGGGGGGCTTTCGCGGAGAGTTCTAGGCGATCCATCAGCGTTGAAGCCAAGCAAAGAAAAGAAGCTCGTCTATCTGTGCACGTGTGGCATGCTGTGGGGTACTCTGGGTTGCATGTGCATATGCAGCCTAGCATCTCGCGAGGACACGAAGCCTGCTCCCGCCGATGCACCGGAGAGCCAATCAGCCGAGGCTCCCTTCGATTGTGTGTTGCTGTTTTCACTCGACTGTCGCATCTGTCCCACGACCCGAGGTCAAGCCTGAGCCAGGGCAAGCAGCTGCGGCTTCGTGTGATCTTTCCGAGGCTCGCTTCAAAGCCTTGTATTGGAAGCACAGCAGAGGGATACCAGGGTACAGGCTGCCCGCACGGCAAAATGGAAGCGAGCCTCACCTCACATCGGGGATCTCTGGGCAGGGCCGGCTCCGTCGGCATGCTAAGGAGCACTATCTTCCAATTATGGGCCCTCTGTGTCCTGCCTGCCTATATCCCCGTATCCTTCCCGGGTGTGTCAAGGACTCCCACGAGCAACACGGCAAAATGGAACCGGGCCCTGCCTCACCTCGGGGATGCATGGGTGGGGCCGGCTCGGGCGGCATGCTAAGGAGCACTATCTTCCAATTACGGGCCCTATGTTTTCCCCGCAGCCTGGCAGCCCATAGACAACAGCCCTTGCCCCGTTCCCTGTCACGACATTCCCGAGTGTGTCGGGGATCGCACCAGCGGCCCGGCAAAATGGAACCGGGCCCTGCCTCACATCGGGGATGCATGGGTGGGGCCGGCTCGGGCGGCATGCTAAGGAGCACTGTCTTCCATTTCTGGGCCCTCCTTTCCCGGTAGCCTGGCAGCCCTCCCAGGTGTGTCGGGGATCGCACCAGCGGCACGGCAAAATGGAACCGGGCCCTGCCTCACATGGGGGATGCATGGGTGGGGCCGGCTCCGTCGGCATGCTAAGGAGCACTATCTTCCAATTACGGGCCCTATGTTTTCCCCGCAGCCTGGCAGCCCATAGACAACAGCCCTTGCCCCGTTCCCTGTCACGACATTCCCGAGTGTGTCGGGGATCGCACCAACGGCACGGCAAAAATGGAACCGGGCCCTGCCTCACATCGGGGATGCATGGGTGGGGCCGGCTCGGGCGGCATGCTAAGGAGCACTATCTTCCAATTCTGGCCCCTCCTTTCCCGGTAGTCTGGCAGCCCTCCCAGGTGTGTCGGGGATCGCACCAGCGGCACGGCAAAATGGAACCGGGCCCTGCCTCACATCGGGGACGCATGGGTGGGGCCGACTCCGTCGGCATGCTAAGGAGCACTATCTTCCAATTACGGGCCCTCTGTGTCCCGCCTGCCTATATCCCCGTATCCTTCCCCGGTGCGGCAAGGAAGCACACGATCAACACGGCAAAATGGAAGCGAGCCTCACCTCACATCGGGGATCTCTGGGCAGGGCCGGCTCCGTCGGCATGCTAAGGAGCACTATCTTCCAATTATGGGCCCTCTGTGTCCTGCCTGCCTATATCCCCGTATCCTTCCCGGGTGTGTCAAGGACTCCCACGAGCAACACGGCAAAATGGAACCGGGCCCTGCCTCACCTCGGGGATGCATGGGTGGGGCCGGCTCGGGCGGCATGCTAAGGAGCACTATCTTCCAATTACGGGCCCTATGTTTCCTTGTTCGTGCCTTCTCCTTTCCCGTGCCAGCACCCGTTGCCAGGCGCCACCGCAATCGCTGCGGGCTCCCTGGGATGTCTTTCGCGAGGAGCTTGGAGATCGTATGGCGGAGAGTGGAAAAGAACTCAAGTGGAAGGGTACTCCGTTGGATGCGCTGGCCAGCAGCACCTGCAAGAGGCTCTTCAAAGCTTTGAGCCCCGAACAGAAGGACATCATGAGCACTGCAGCAGCTGCCGAATGTGCGGCCTACTTTAGCTACATGAAGCTGCAGCAGGCCCAGGGACAGCCCGACGGCTGGGACACATTGCGACCCGAAGCCAAGAGACTGTTCCTGCAGCAGTCTCCCTTGTCGGTGCTTCGTGCTGAGAAGGCAATCCCTCTGTTGGCAGTGTTGGGGCTGGACGGCCTTGTATCCGGCGAACCGCTGGAACCCATCTCCCTAGATCACTTAGACGACGACGAACTTCATCTGCTGGCATTCTTGGTGGATGCAGTCCCGCAAGTGTTCCAAGGCTCCTTGGACCAGCTCCGTGTGAAGTTAGCCAGCATGCCCTCTCTGGGCACAAAGCCTGAGGCAACAGTCAAGGCCGAAGTGACGCAGAATCCCCAGCAACAGCAGGCCTCAACCAGCTCGGACCATGCAGCAGGCAAGGCACCTAGTGCAGTCATCCGGGATCCCCAGCAAAAGGCATCGAACAGCTCTGACAGTTCAGCAGGCAATCCGCAGGCCGTTGGAACCGCAGGGCAGAAGCTCAGTGCTGAGAATTGCATGAACGTGGAGTCGGAACTGCTTCGACCTTGGAAGGGCCTCAAGGAGAGTTTGCAGCCAGAGCAACAGCTGTCCTGGGCTGCCTGCATACATGCCTTAGTCGAGGTTTGCAAAGACAATTGGGGCGTCTTCTGGCCCCGCCACTGTGTCGTGATGTGCGGCAGTGCTGCCGAGTCGCTGGGCTTGCTGAGGTTACAAGCTTCGGCCACGTATCTGCTGGCAATGATCTCGACTTCAACCCACTGGGCCATGTGCTGTGCCAAGAAGGGCGAGCAAGATCTCCTCGTGTTCGATGGGCAACAAGTCCCTGAAATCCTAGATGCTGCAGAAGCCATCAGTCTGCATGTACAAGACCACTGGGGCACTGAACTCCGTGTGATGCCCCAGGCCGTCACCCCACAAGCAGACAGCTGGAGCTGTGGCCATCGGGCAGTGCTTGCAGCCAAGCTCTTCCTGCAAGGACGAGAACAGTCATGGCCCCCAGAGATCGATCCAGACGCCTTCTCGGATGGAAACATCAAAGCCTTCTGCTCTCGACCCTGTCGGTCAAAGGCGGCTCCGAAGGCTGCTGTGGCCAAGCCGGGTTGCCAACACTCAAAGGCAAAGGCTAAGGCATCCAAGGCGGCCAAGGAGTCATCGCAAGCTCTGGTTCGCGATGACGGGGACGACGTGCATCCGCCTGCCGAAGATGGTGGTGAGGAGGAGGAGCCCGAGGCTGCTGGCAAGCGGCAGTCCTCCCTCATGGTAGACCAGCCTCCCCCCAAGAAGCGGAAGCAGAGCAAGAAGCAGCAGGAGGCTGAGTTGAAGGAGTCTGCGAGGGTTCAGGCCGAGAAGGCGGGAGTGAGCTACCAAGTGGAGTTCCAGAAAAGACACCACAAGAACAAGGATCACATGGGACAGCAGCATTGGCACCATTTCCTCTTGGCCCTCGCTAAACACAGTCCTCTTACTTGCAAGACATGCAAGGAGCTCCGAGATCAGGTCCTCCAGCCTTCGCCTGAGCAAGTAGTGGAGGCTGCCCCGGCGGATGACGTGGTCGCGGCGCCGGCGCTGAAGGTATCAACCGGTCCGGGGAGGCCGGGGCGTGGGTGTGTCTCGGTGAAGCTGAAGGATCTCCTAGAGCGAGACCGTCCCGGCATTTATGAACACAAACATGGCAACCTTTGGCTGTGCAGACCGTGTGGGCAAGAAGTGAACTTCGACCGGCCAGGTGCATCAGGCTGGAAGTATGTGATCTCCCATGAGGGAAAGACACACAAGAGGCGCCTTCACGAATGGCAGGCCCAGCAAGCAGTGGCTCCCCTGCAAGACAAGGCCCCAAACTGCCACGGGGTCCGCGTCGGGGAAGGAGATGTGGCAGAGCTCGATCGGTACTCGAGTTCATTCGAGACCTGGGTGAAGGTCGGCATGATCCGTTGCATCGACAGGACTGGCCAGGACCCGTTGGAGAAGTGCGCACTCAGCTGGGAGCAGGAGATCTTGGTTCTGAAGGCCAAAGCCTGCACGGGTAGGGGGCCCATCTGCGAGCAGTGCAGGGCTACCGCCAGTAGCCGGATGCTGCACAGAGCCGTCGCTAAGTGGGCTTGCATCGTGGACTCCTGTGACTTAGCCCGGCAGATTGTCTACGGCAGTGCAGACGACATTCTCAGTGCCAAGGAGAAACTCATCCAATCCGACTACTACTCCTTCAGTGAGTGCCGGCGGGAAGTGGATGGCTACCTCCAGATCGAAAGCTCCATGGCCCTGCTGGCTGCCATCAAGCGTCGGCTCTGCTGCATCACTTACGGCAACCGGACCCGTGTGCTCCAAGAGTGGATGCTGGTGAATGTGCAGGACCGGGAGTACTGAGTACAACGACTCCGCCGAGTCCGAGAAGATCGCCCTGAAGGAGCTGTGCAAAAAGTTTGAGGGCAATCTTTTGAACGGCTCTATCAAGAAAGAGAACTTGATGATCGCCTCGCAGATCGCGGCTGGTGGTCATGAGGGTAACAAGGTACTCCGCTGCATACTGCATAGTTGGTTCGACATGCAGAGTCGGATTCAAAGAGGTTGCACCACCAGGACAAAGTCCGCAAAGCACTTGGACGATGAAACGTTCCAAGAAATATATTGGATGATTGGCATGTTCGCTCAGAGTCGAGAACTCCTCGGCAGTTTCGGGGTCAGCCTGTCGGATCCACCAAAGATCGAGTTTAGACACCCGATGATCCCTTGGTTTTACCTCGCTCATACTTCCGATGAGCAGCTGGACCACAACGCCGCCTGCATCCTGGAACGACTCGAGGTCCAAGCTGGGTGCCGCAGCTATTTCGTCGGCATCGACGAAACGTATTGGGCTCCAAGTTTCCAGGTTCTTAGTGGTTTCGAAGGGCCGGATTCCCGAACCATTGTCGGGGGCTAGTTCACGGAGGATGCGGAGGATTCCTTCGCGAAGTTGGCTTCGGCTAAGAACCTGGACGACTCCAAGAAGTCTCGGATGAGTGTACATTTCGTGGTGAGCCGGACGGACACCTTGCAATTCTCCTACGACTCCTGCATGATCCCGCTCAAACCTAAAGACAAGCGCAAAAGCCAGAGGCAATTGGAGGTCTGCGGGCGGCTCTTTCAGTCGTTCGCGGCTCGGAACCGCGACAGCCCTCCTCTGGGCATCGGGTTCGACGGCGGAACCATCAATGCCGATCTGAGCAAGTGTATGCTCGGCTTGCTTAGCTGCGACACTCTGGCAGCGACGACCTTCTTCAAGTCCTGTCGCTTCGAGCCCATGGGCCTAAAGTTTGTGCCCTTCCGCTTCTGCTACTACAAGGACCACGTGCTGCTAGCATCGCAGGACAGTCTGCACTACCTCAAGAGATTTAGCCTGCACCACCATGCAGGCAGTCGAGACGTTCATTATGGAAACTTCGTCGTCGACCTGAGTGGCATGGGCACTCGCGGAATGCCGATTCGGAGCTTCACCATGGCGGATGCAATGAGCGATGCGGAAGCTCTGTCTCGAATGAGCTCCCGGTTCCTCCAACCTCGTTGGGACTTCGTCGGAGCACACCTCTACTGTCTGCTGGGAGCTCTCCTGTCCTCTTGTGGTCAGGGTTCTGATGGCCTGTCAATCGGGACCATCTTCTGCAATGCTTGCAGTGCTTACTTTATGCTGTTGCTGGGCTTGCAACAGGCTCAAGAGGTCCATGGCGCCCATTGGAAACAGAAGTATCTGCCCTTAACAACAGTTCGACTAGGAGTTCGCCTGTGTGTGCACACGATGCAGTTGTGCATGCGATGCCCCGGCAGTGCCTCTGTGAGGGCATCCCGCTTTCAAGAAAGATCCTGCGAACTGTTTTTTTCCCGGGCGAAGAAAGAGTACCGGGGATCTCCCAGTGCTCGGGACGGAGTGCTTGGCATCTACAAGGAGCACTTGGTGCAGTCCAAGAAGAAGCTTCGCCCGGTGCCGTCGAAATGCCTCCTGCAGCAGTGTTTGGATCAGCCGACAGCGGACAAGCTGTGTCGCGAAGCCTTCACGGAGATGTGCAGGTTTCAAGCTTACATATCCGTGGGCCGGTCGCCGGCTTTGATAGCCGGTAACTTTGAGTGCTGGTACAGACGAGAAGGCAGGAACCTCATCGCCCAAGGTGCCGACGATGGCGAGGACCTGGTCGAAGCCGACGACGATGAGCTGGCTATGGACTTGGGCATCCAGGAGAACATCGCTGAGGAGGAGGAGCCCGCTGCCGACGACTCCGTGCTGGCGCTGCAGGCCGTCGAAGACCATGCGGCCATGAAACAGAGCCTGGAGGCCATATCAGCGGCTTCGGATGATCAGCTGCGGGAGCTCATCGGAGAGGACTCGGACTCGGAGGGCGAGGAGGCAGAGACACTTGCCCGAAAAGGCGACGATGCATCCGACGAGCACTCCAACTTCCGGCAGATGCTGAGGCAATGGGCGGACGTGGAAGCTTTCGATCTCCAGGATGTGGGGTCGCTGACGGCATGCCAAGAGCGGCTTCGCTACATGATGCCGGGCATCCGATCCTTCGTGCAAAACATCAGGTTGAGAGAAGGTATCTTGTCCGCCGCTCAAGTGACCGGCACCACGAAGCTGCAGAGCTCTTGGCATTCCCTACAGCACGAGCTCGCGATCGCGAGAGAGGCCTCCTTGGAATCGGGATGCAGGCAGTCCCGTGCCATCGCCTGGCAGCAAACGGCTGCGAAAGCAGTCATGCAGACACGGGCCACGGATGCGGGGGCCAACGATGGTATTTTGCAGTGAACTGTCATGTCTTGGGAGGTTTCTGCTACTTTTGGTTTAGGGTCTAGGGCTTAGTTCATACGGTTTCTACTCCTGGGATCCCTGATTGGTGCCACTCCGAGGTTGCAACACCTCATCCCCAGGACTGATGCGAAATCCATGCCGCAGATCATCGTGTATGTGCACGACAAGAGGGTTTCTTTGGGAGTCGTGCTGACCATCTACAGGGGGGCTCTTCTCAAAGGGAAAGACAAATCAGAGGCCGGCCGGAAATTGAGGGTCACGAAGCCCTCCGTACATGCACTCCCGGTGCTCACTTGCAGCCGGGTGAGGGTGGTCCATTTGACGGAATCCGCACCATTGCGCTACTTTGCCTGTTCTCACAGCCCCATTGAGCTGCTGACTCCGCAGTGTTTCCTCGGCCACGTGGGGAACATCGACTTCGCGAACTGCGAGACGAAGCTCCGGGTTGCAATCACCCAGGTCACCAAAGACCAGCTGGACAAATTGCAGTGCCAGCCGGAGCTGTTGTCGGCCCCGGCAACGGTTGCTGCTGATGGCGATGGAGCGCACCTGGAGTCCGCTGACGTGCAGCTGCACAGCGAGCGACGGATATACTCCGCTGTGGATTTCACGAACTCCATTCAGGGATCCAAAAATTTGGAGAAGTTCCTGCTGACCGTGCCCAAGCTGTGGAGTGACAAGGGCGTCCCGATCACGGACGAGAGCGGCTGCATAGTGCTGCAAGGAGGCAAGAGCCTACAATGGTTTCACATTTGCAAGCGAGCTCCCGAGTACTTCGACATTGCGTACAGTGGCTCAGCCAAGAACTTCGGCCGCTTCGTTGTCGGCCAGATGTCGCAGGTACTCCCCGAGGGCGATTTCGCTGCAGCCAAGAGTCGCTTGTACAGACTCGTCGGCAAGATCGATGGAGTGGCTCAACCGGTGTCAGGGTCTCAGGGCCGGAGTTTCAGTGTGTCCGGCTTAGGCCGTCTCAGGGCTTGGATTTTACAAGTTTCGGGTTTCGGGTGTCGGGTTTAGGATTCGGCTACTCTGATTTCGCAGCTTGCGATGAGGCTCGTGGCTGGGTGAGCGGCGACTTCTTTCCTGCGAGGCTGAAGCCTGCTCCTCATGTTGTCTCATCGGTCTCGGGCTTGACTGCGATTTGCTGGCTATGTCCAGGCAAGGCCTCGCCAATCTTTCGTTCCAATCAACAGTGCCTGGACCTGAGATCACTGAACACCTGCATGCACTCCCGCTGCACCCACATACTGTCTGTTCCAGGTCGCCGCCGAGAATGGGGGGCGAAACGGCCGAGTGTCTCTGGCGACAGCTGCGAAAAAGACGAGCTTCCGCATTGTCTGCGAATCCGTTTGCAAGTCCACTCCGCGAGAGAGAGAGAGAGAGAGAGAGACACACACACACACAGTGCATGATGTGCTGCCCGTGCCAAGCATGAAACATGCCGGCCATTCGTGATTCCATTTTGTGGGGGCTGGATATTGGAAGCAGATTCTTGGAGCATCTATGATGCCATACCCGGAAACATGGTGGGGGGGGTGTCAAGAAATGGACCCTCCATTTCCTAGCCCCACCCAGCCTAAAACATAGGGGATCATGACTGTTCAAAACGAAATACTTGTCTAACTCCTGCAGGACTCTTTTCAGTCCGCTCTCGTCGACGAACACAAGTGACTGTATAGAGTGCGCTAGCTCGTGTTGAACCTAGAAGGCTTGTACTTAGTTTCCTCTTGCCAAGACTATAAGCAAAGGTTTGCAATAACCATCTCGTAGCCAAGGGGCCCGAGCAGTAGTTGCACGGAGACTTGCAGATTTCGGCAGGCCTGTGCAGCAGACGACTCCGAGTGCATTACGAAATTCCTTGCCTATGTAGAGAGGCATCCGGAAGCCGCCTCGGCCGCATGAGTCAGCGAGGAGAAACAGATGTTGATGGTGGATACAATTGTGAACTGGCCGTCTAGCTGTCATTATCCGCTGCTGGGGTTTGCCCCAGAGAGCATTAGCAGCAGTAGCAGTAGCAGCAGCAGTAGCAGTAGCAATAGCAGCAGCAGTAGCAGCAGCAGTAGCAGTAGCACTAGCAGTAGCAGTAGCAGCAGCAGCAGTAGCAGCAGCAGCAGCAGGAGTAGTAGTAGCAGCAGCAGCAGTAGTAGTAGCAGCAGCAGTAGTAGTAGCAGGAGTAGTAGTAGTAGTAGTAGGAGTAGCAGTCGTAGTGGTGGTAGTAGTAGTAGTGGTTGTAGTGGTGGTAGTGGTTGTAGTGGTGGTAGTGGTTGTAGTGGTAGTGCTGGCGCTGGTGGTAGTGCTAGTGCTAGTGGTAGTGGTCGTGGTGGTGGTGGTGGTGGTGGTGGTGGTGGTGGTAGTGGTAGTGGTAGTGGTAGTGGTAGTGGTAGTGGTGGTGGTGGTGGTGGTGGTGGTGGTGGTGGTGGTGGTAGTAGTAGTAGTAGTAGTAGTAGTATAGCATCAGCATCAGCATCAGCCTCAGCCTCAGCCTCAGCAGCAGCTTAGCAGCTTTGGTTGTAGTAGTACGTGGTGAATATTTAGTACGTAGTACTTTAGTACGTTGTACGTAGTACTTTGTACGTAGCCGGTAGTAGAAAATAGTAGGTAGAAATGGTAGTAGTGGTGGTAGGAGAAGTAGTAGTCGTAGTAGCAGTAGCTGCAGCAGCAGCAGTATGCAAGGCTTGTAACCAGCACAGAAGTCCCTTTGCATGAACTGCAGGCCAAACTGCTTGCATCCTGAGCTCCCCTGCAGCCAAGTGCAGCTGAAGCAAGGACTTCAAGAAGGGAATCGCGCTCCTCCGCATGTCCAACATTGCATACCGGAAGCCTGCACCTGCCAAGTCTCGGTGCGGAGTACCTGTCGCTGGTTGTGAAGAGTGGGTTGGGAGTTCGGGGTTGTTTCTGGTGGAGTGCCCAAGCACTTCACGGGCGGGTATCAGGGTAGAGGTGTTGTGACTCTGCTGGGTGGTAGCCCCCAACATCACTCCCAAGAGAGATCTTGTTCTGGCAGGGTCTTGTTTGTCAGACTAGATGAATGTCGGCATGCTGGCGTACCGCATTGGTTAAGTTTCAGAGCAATGGCAATGGTTGCCGGCAAGTGCAGCGCGAATGGTGTAGCCCTTTAACAGGCATTGTTTTGTCGTTTGGGGGGGCATCTTCTTGAGTTGAGCCTGACTGCTATCGCATCACCTCTTCACTGGCTGCGGTTTGAGTCGTTTCAGTGTCTTCTTGTACGTGCTGAGTCCAAGGCTGGCAATGATCGTGATGCAGGCGAGGCTGCCACTGATCGTCTCGCAGACGATGATCGTCATGCAGACGAGGGTGGCAACGATCGAGACGCAGACGAGGTAGGCACTGATCAAGACGCATGCAAGCAGACCAAGCAGACGGAAAGTCCACCCGTACGTGGTGAGAGGGTCATCGTTTGCTTATGAGCCTTGCGGCCGGTCCACAAGCCCCAGTATGCAGAGTATCCTGCAGGGGTCAAAGCAGAATATCCAATTAGTTAAGAAGGCTGCTCTAAATGTCCTCACTAATTAGCGTCCTACAAGGACTGCCCAACATCACAGAAACAATGCAATAAAGTCCTAAGACCAGTTGCATAGGCCAACAGGATGCTTGAAAGCAAGCTAGTGAGCCGCTAGTGTTTGTGGCATCTTGCCATAGGTGCAGAAGACAAGCGCTGTGGATCCCACCTCTCCGCATAGTTTGTTTGACAGATGCAGCAACATGTGGCAGACGACTGCACTAGTAACAGTAGTGAATATTTGCCCTTCGTGGTGTCCCCTTTTTGCTGCAGCTGCCCAGCCAGGATGTTAATCTGATGTGGGACTAGGCTTATGCACGGAAAAAGCATGGACCGCCGTAAGCTGTCTCATGGTTTGGAGACATTCCTCTTTGAGGACTTTGTGCGGCTGATGTTACAGAAAGACGAGGAAGACATTGACATAGTTCGAATTTTCATCTGCCGTTTGCACCTGCATCGGCAAAGGGTGGTTTAGCAGGCCATCGATATTTACATGCTGAGCTGCATGTTGACGTCGGACTCAGGAAGAATCTGCGCACCTAGGCCCCCACAAGCACTTTCCGAAATCGTGGGTAGGATTCGTGTTAAGGACATTAAGATATGTATGTTGATATACGAAGATAAGTACAGTCATGTTTCCTGGTCTTCTGACGGTAGTGATAGCGGTAGTGATAACAGTGGTGCTTGTACCACTGGCTTTGTAGTACATGGTACTATATAGTCAGCAACTACTAGTAGTAGTAGTAGTAGTAGTAGTAGTAGTAGTAGTAGTAGTAGTAGTAGTAGTAGTAGTAGTAGTAGTAGTAGTAGGAGCGGCAATACTATATGTAGTTGTAATAGTCGTCGTCGTGGTACATAGTAGTAGCAGCTGCAGCATTCATGATAGTACTCGTCGCGCAATCGTAGCTGTATGCGACGAGTACTTTCATGAATGCTGCAGCTGCTACTACTATGTACCACGACGACGACTACTATTACAACTACATATAGTATTGCCACTCCTACTACTACTACTACTACTACTACTACTACTACTACTACTACTACTACTACTACTACTACTACTACTAAACTACTACTACTGTAGTTAGTTAGTGGCCTAGCCGGATTGAGAATGCAATGATCATCTTCGAGGTTCGCGCAAGCTAGCGGTCATGTGCCGACAAGTTCACCAACTATCAGTCAAGAATCATGACTTCGCTTACGCCTGAGTTTCCGGCCATTTCCTGTCTAGCAGCCTCAGCAGCTTTGGCTGTGCTGGCATCTGTCAAGAGCACGGACATGGTGAAATTATAGCAGCACATGCTTCGTTCCAGGGTACTACGCAACTGTTGTAGCTATTGGTACTTTTTTTGTGGCTGTTCAAAGTTGTACTAGCATAGTAGGAGTCGGAGTGAACGTGGCATCAGCAGCACGACGGAGTAGTTGCGGCAGTAGTGGCATCGTCGATATCGTTGTTGGTGTCGTCGCTGTGGTGTAGTTGCTGTAGTAGCACTAATGGAGCAGCAGTAGCAGTGTAGTAGCAGTAGTCGTGGTGGGGGTGGTATTGCTCGTAACAGTACTAGCACCAGTAGCTGGACTCGTCGTCATTACACCAGCACGAGCATTACCTGCAGCAATTTACAGAAAGAGTTTGTCAACGAGACTGACCGCGATGGGATCAGCAGCAGCGGCAACAACAGAAAAGTCCGACAGCCATTGCAGCCTCCTGGAACCCCAGCAGCAGTAAGAATCCCCCGGCTCTTTTGTTGGTAAGCCATGTTAAGCACAAACTTAATCATGCCACTTTTTGTCACTTTCTGTCTTTGTTTGCAATCATAACGACAACAACGGCTCAGCTTCATCGACGACCACGAAAAGGCGAAAAACACTCTTGCCAATCATATTCGATCAAGTATCCAGACTTTATCCAAGAAGGGGACAAACCACTCCTGCTATTGCTAGGTCTGTTGTTCCTGATCTCCCTACCTGTAGCCATTGTCTTGACGTAAGCACAAGACGGAACGGAATTTATGATATGCTTGGCTCAGCGAAGCGTCTGCAAATATTGCCTGCTATAGTCACATGCGTCCGGCTCGATGTTGCGACCGGAGCCCGTGTAGCCAAGGCTTCCTCCTACTGTACAGTGTACAGACTGCTCTACAATTGTGTCCTTCTCATTGCGTGTCAGACGGCCTGACCATCAAAAGCCCAGGTTTGTATAACCTGAGCCGGTTTCGATGCTGTTCTGATCGGCCTAGCACGGCATACCCATCAACATGTTCACGTTTTCCAAAGAATCAATCTCCCTTTCATGCCGGGAGCTCTGAAACTCTGGACACTTGCCCGACTAGTCTTCGACCAGCACCTGAGCGCCTTTGCAGAGCACACATGAGGTAATTTGCATTCACGCAAATAGCGAGCCGGAGCTGGCGGCTCCCTCAAGAACTTTTAGACACCCCGTGCCCGAAACTAAGCACCTCGAACATCAGCATGAACGTATTGAGAGGCTTACGCTTGTTTGGTTGAGAAACCATCCTCAATAGTTAGGACCCGTCTTGCTTTAAATTGAAGTATACTGCTGACTATACTTGCACTGGAGTTGGACAGGTGCCATGTCTTGATTCAGATAGAGCTAGAACTTAGAGCACTGCACAGATCGCACGACTTGAGTGGTGCTACGGTTGTTGTCGCTTTTTCCTTGCTGCCACGACTTTGTCTTGGCGGAAGTCGGAACCACAGCTCTGCCTCAGCTTCAGGACTATTGAGACTGGAGATAAAGGCGCTTCTTGCACATTGCACTGCTACATCAGCGGAATCAAAGCCTGTGCCGTTGCACTACAGCGCATGCTAGTTAGCTGCTAGTTACTTGGTACGACAGAGCCGGTCACGTAAAGCCTCAGAGCAAAACGTGGCTACAGAAATAGCGCGGTTTGAAGATACAGTACAAGCACAAGACACAGAATCAAAGTATTGCGTTTGCATTTGCTGTCGTACGACACCGAAGCAGAGAACAGCATGATAGTACCCTAGTGACCGACACGTATATACTTGAGAGCTCATTAGCAGTAGGGTAGTTCTGTCCGAAAAAAAGTGTAGCCCCGAACCCAAGGTGTAAATCCGGTAGTCAGAGTGCCGGCTTGCACGAAAGGCCTTTAACGAGCCTTCTCCTGGGTGCACCCCATCCAACCGGACAGTTCAGCGGCTCAACAGGACTCAAGCTTACAATCCATGGGTTCAGGGGTTTAGGGTTCTTATCATGCTATTCACGATATATGAAGACCGAGACTGTGTGTAATTAGTAGATTTCCAAACCTCGTGCCTGCAGGCCTCCAGTGTATTCAGGAGGATTTGCAGCAGTTCGCACTGACCCTTCTGCAAAAAAGCTCCCACGCGGCAAACACAACACCCCGTGCACATGGGAACTTAAGGTGTATTCTATGCATGCGAAGACACGCACACTGCCCCTTTGATTTGGTGTGAGTTTGGTATCGGACGCTGTTGTTTTCATGAGGTTTTCGTGTAAGCATGTGTGCGAACCTGGAAATCATAGGCATTTACGGCAGTTTCGCTGCATTGTTTATTATTTATGGTCTTTTCGCGTTTTCAATTGCTGCTATTGTGCACGGTTCGACAGCGTCGGAGCACGACGAGGAGGAGGAGGAGGAGGAGGAGGAGGAGGGGGGGACGTCATCACGCTTTGGACATCAACAGTGTGGCCAAGGCAAGAAGCAGAGGAAGCACCGTACATACCGATGCCTTCGGCACACAAATCAAAGTTCACATCGCGAATACCGATGTGTTGGCATGAGCAAAAAGGAACAATCGGAGGTGCGAAGCACTGCGCAGGCTCCCACCTCGATCATGCAAAGCACCGTTAACAAAAATACAAGCTACGCAAACGACATGTTCGGATTGCGCAATTGTTGATCATCTCCTTGGAGCCGATAAAAAACAAATTAACAAGGAAAAACAGCAGGCGCGGTTTAGACTACAACTCTTGTATATCCTTAAAACTTAAAACCTATCATCTGGAGCCGCAAAGCTAGATGCGTTCCTTTGCGGTGGATCTCGGATGTTCTGGGGTTCTAAGGGGTACCTTGTTGCACAGCCTCTAATACTAAAGCCCAAAGGCCAAACCCTGGGGCATGAATCCGACCATGAGACGACAAACCCTAAACCTTAAAGCTTAAGGCCTAAACCTTCAACTCAGACCCGAGACCCAAAAAGTTTAAAGCCTCAAGCCCTAGAGAGGAAATTCACAGGATTGACACTGTCAGGATAAGGTTTGCAGACCAGCCTGCAGCGTTTAGTCTTGGTAGCCTCAGGCAAATTGGAATTGCACTTTATGGCCTCGAGCTTAACTCAGGGTGTTGCGGACGAAGTCCAGGATCATGTCAGCATCTGGTTCATGGGTCGTGCGCCCGGGAGGAATGTCATCGACTTTTGCACGCTTTACTAGAAAGGGTGCAACACCCTTTTGTCGGTTTTGTGGAGAAGAATGCCGCCCAGCTCGACGCTGCAGTATTCATAGCACACCGTCTCGAACCCAAGCAAAGAGATCAGGGTTAAACCAGCGACTTGGGGGACACTCATAACTCATAACGATTCAACGATTGTACCATCACTGCTGGCATATTGTGATTTCTAAGACCATACCGAGACCGATCAAGCATGCAATGCAGTGCATGGAATGCATGGTACAGTTTGTACCGTTCTTACCTGGCCGAGTTTCGTTATGCTTGAGGTACAACACTTCACCGTACAAGCCGATCGTGCATCATGTTCTCTCAGCCCACCCCACTGCACATTCCTGGTACGTGAAGCAGAGGTTCTCATCAGCCTGGGCCGTAAGCGGCTGAAGCAGTTGAGCTGTGAGCCTCCACCCTCTTCTTAACCTGTCCGCTCTGCATGAAGCAGCCGGGCAGCCTTTTAGCTTCGCTCGCTCGCCTCACTTAATTTGGGCTCTAAATTCTCGAGCAAAGGAGGTTGAGGGGTTGTCTTAGGGCAGAGTCCCTCCACATAGACACCTGCCTTCAGAAACTCTTCTGAATCAGAACCTACTAGAAAAGCTTCAGGCTTTCGCGAGCAGAAAAGCGCAAGATCAGTGGAAGTCTGGCCGGCTGGAGCTGCGCACAACCCAGAATATCATGTAATAGATGAAAACACAATAATAATAACAACAATAATAATGGTAGCCTCTCCAGTCTGCTCCCAGCTTCCCCCGTGGGCTCCCAGGCAGCGCCTGGTGCCTGCATCGGAGTGTCCGTGTGGCCGCAAATAATCACAAAAGAAGCAAAAGTACAAGTAGATAGTTTTATTTAGTATTCTTCTACAGTTACATGTTGTACTTTGTTATAGTATTAGCGCGGACTAGTTTATTATAACAAAATTCTAAAGATAACTCGTCATCGCAGCCGTCTAAGCCAGTTTGGCAATCCTCGCATCTCGATTCTGAGCTAGTCTTCTTCTGGTTCCCAGAGGTTGTGGAAGTATTGCTGTCGGCCCCACGCTGCGGTCTTACTAAGATGTGGGGAGTTTCAGAAAACTGCTACTGTAGTGTCGAGCCAGAAGATAGTGTTGCTGAGATCTGTAAATCATGCACCCCGTCATTTGTTCTGAAACCACCATGGCACTGGAAATTCTGCACACAATGCTCTTGGCCCGGGACCGATCCAGCAGGCGTAGCTGGATGCTGCAGTAGACCTTCACCAAGCCTGCGCAGAGCATAGGCGAAAAGTGATGCCGGATGGAGCCCAGGACCAGTACATGTGTTGAACTTGCGAGATTGAGGTTATGAATCCATCGTTCTCCTGCGAGCATAGGTCAGGTAACCGGGTAGAGGACCCGAAGACTGAAGCTCCGTGTCGCCGAGGTTCACAGGTTTCGCCGAGCAGTTCGTGGAACTCTATGGTTTCTGAGGCGGTCATGGTCCGTGATTCCAATCGCTCGTGGTTCCATGCCTGACAAGAGACCTGTAGCTGCGAATCCTGTCGCACCTAAGACCTAAGTGGTGTGTAGCCTTTTCATCTTTGGGTCATGGAGGGATACATGGATAGTCTTTTTCGTTTGATGTGTCCGCAGTCGAGAAAGCCCGAGAAGGCACAGCAGTTTCACCATATGGACATGTGTTGCCTTTGGCAGTCGTGTGATGCCATGCGGAAGCAGACGACGCAGCTCGAAACCCTCAAAAACAGGCCTCGACTCCAGACCCATGAACCCTAGAGCTCGCAACCCCAATCTGAAATGCACAGCCGAAGTTTGGCGAAGAAACGTTCGTAGCAATCGGAGGCGGCCGTGAGCTTCGCAACCATCCCGAATTGAGTAGGTGCCCTGCCCTAGGAAGACCTGGAAGCTGGCAGGATCTTCGCATACAATATATAACATGTATTGTAGAATATAACACAGATGATATACAACTTGCAACATATAGTCTTTGTTTGCAGAATGAGGTGTTTAAAGTCAGTGCAATGGCTGTTCTTTTGGTTTCAGTCTTCGTTGTAGTCACCTGTGTCTTTTGGTTTCCGGGTTCCTGGTTGTAGCGAGCCCTTCTTGATATGTTGCTATGTTGAAAGGAGCCCCAAAATGTATAAGTATTTATATATATATATATGTATATGTATAATTATGTGTGTATATATACATATAATTGTAAATGTATAGAATATATATATATATATATATACACACACACACACAAAGACCCACGCACATACCGTGATCCAACATGACCGGGGAGCCCCAGGCTGCTGACCGTCTGCGCCCCCAGGGCCCACCAGACTTGCAGGGCATGGAAAACCCTGTTTGGTACCAAAGCAGCCTAGGCCCAGGAACCTAATCTAGAGGCCTAGATAGTTACCAATACTGTTGTGGGGGGTCCCGAAACCCTATTCTACTTATTAAGGCCCCTATATGAAACCCTGCCAGCTCTGTATATAGAGGTTGTGCAGCCTGTTCCTTGTCGAGTCAAACAACTGTGGGGGAGCTTGAGATCATCTGGCAGGAACAACACTCACTGATGAGCATTGGGGTTCTCGGCTTACTCTGATTCTGCTGCTTTCCATGCCACATGCAAGGACCAGAAGAGATATTGTAGTTTTCATTCTGCAGTTTTCGCTGAGCCATGACTTGGCACCTTGAGGCAGCGAGCATTTGGGACTCGAACGCTCCATGAATTTAACGTCAGGTTCCAAATCGCTACCATAACTGCTGTAGTATTACCGTGGTTTTTGTGTACGATTGGATACGAGTTTTGTTTGCCTGTTTGCGGAGCTCATGCCTCGTTTTTCCAGCCTAGCTGCACGACCGCGAGAGAGAAACTACGAATAGCCAGGTTCATGCCGAAGTTTAGGACACGCCGTGCAGAGGACAGACGCGCTGTGGCATTAGGGTTGAGGGTTCAGCCAGCTGCCAGCGGCCTTTTGCGACGTTTGTCATGTGCATGTGCTTGCGGCTCATGTCCAGCAGAACCGTCCCGCACGCATCATGCCTCGAGAGCATCCGCAGCCCAAAGGCACCCAGGGCTGTGTAGGCCACGCCCACGCCCGGACCTGCACCCTGACTGGAACTCAGCTAGTCCATGTCTTGGTGACGAATCCAAGCTTGTCAGCCACATGAGTACCACGTCGTGGATGCCCGACTGGTTTTCGGTCCAAGCGAGCAAAAGTTGAGAGCAGCATCATGGAGAGTCCGTCTTCGACGTTTGTGTCATCAGTTCAGTCTGTGTCGGCGCCCACGTCGCCGACATTGGCAGACCTGCGCAAAGGTGCTGACGGGGTTGGGCCTAAGAGATCCAAGTCCAACTCCAAGTCATCCAGCCGCCCCGGTCCTGTCCGCAGAGTGGACTCGGATGGCTGCCGTACGCGTGCGTCAAGCATCTCCAGCAAGAGCAGCCACGCCACTGTGCAGAGCCTTATGGCCTTCGCAGAACAGAGCCCTTATGAGTTTGAGCAGTCCATTCTGTTACTCAGGCTTGCTGACTCTGTGAAGAACGAGGCAGAAGACCGTGCACGTTCGACTGTAACCAAAGGCAGGTCGCGTTCCCGGCATGGAACAGGCGAGTCTTCCGACTGGCAGTCTGAGCGCAAGTCAACGAAGACAAGAACGGCAGACTCATGTGACTTCAACAAGCTGAGTTTGCCGAGGGGATGCAATTGCATTCTCTCCATCTAAGCATAGACTGGCAGACCTGTCTAGCTTGCATCAACTGCTTCACAAATGTGGACGTCCGACATTTACACATTGCCATGCTCGGTATGGCCCGTTGCAGGCTTGGCCCCCCCTCAAGGTTGACAGATACTGCTCAATCTATCGCCCATCGTGGCAAACGACGTTTGAGCGTGGTCTTAGCTTCTCGGGAGAATCTTTTTGTTACATTCGTCGTGTCAAGAACCAGTGCGAGCAGCAGTAAGTCGAAATTCGTACCAGTAGTATACTATTCAAATCTTTGAGGCCCCTGTATGACGCCCTTCTTCAAGGAGGCCCTGCAGCGCCGTAATTTTTAACAGTCCTGTCATCCTGGCGTTTACACGCTTATAATAGAGTTTAGGCATGACTTCCATTTTGCCCTTGCGAGTTCTGTCAACCGGCGGGGGGGGCAACGTGACTAGTTCACAATCGCACTTTGATGGATCATCCGTCTCTCAGTCGCACGACTCACCGGTCTCAGATGAGGATGCTTCATTTGTGTAAGTAGTCTTGTGTTGAGCAGTGCGCAGTGCCCTGGCCGACTTCCAAGAAGTTTGACCGGATACCAAGCATGACAGTGACCTTGTAAGCAAGGCCTCCCTCTCTGGGAGTTTTCCGTCCTTAGCCATGGATGTGTCCCCTTCGAATTTTTCAACCATTAAACGCTGTAGATACCGAGGATGTCAGAAGCAATGACATCAGCATACACCAGCCAGGGACGTTCTAAACCAGTGTTCCCATAGCTCTTCCAGGCACGGTCATGAACTGTCGAATCTTAGTTGGGTTTCTACACGAATCACAAAGGGGAGCCCAGTTTGGGACAGTCCCAGCTATCCTCAGCCCTACTGTCGGAGCAAACCACTGGACTGGCAGGGTGCGGGCTCTGCATTCCAAAGTTTTCCTGGGATGAGAGATCTGTGTTGTTACCGTTGTCACACAACGATAGTACATTCCCAATGGTTGTTGTTGAATTCTTTGCCGCCGGGTTCCTGCCTTCGCATACAGGTCAAAAACGGTTCTTATCAAGCATCAGTGAAACGGTCTGCGGGTGAGGGCGGATCGAGCCAGATCGGCAATCGTGTGCACGTCCCTGTGTGTCTGTGTGTGTGTGTACCTGTGCACGTGTGTTAACCTTCGAGATATCCCTGCCAAGTCATGTCAGCCTGCATCATCCAAGTCCCACCAACCTGGACCTTAAAGGAGAGTCTAAAGTGGATGCGGATCTGTCTTTTGAGAGCGAACTTCCTATTCGTTCATTACGTGGATCATTAATGGCTTTAGGGTTTGGGTTCTGCGGGGTTGGGGCTTCATTAAAGGCTGGGTGTTTGGGGTTTAGGATTCTATGTGTGCACAGGTCCTCTTCATGTGATTTGATGTCTAAACGTGTCCAAGCCCCTTGGGGCAAGCGGTTTGCCTTAGTGTCTGATGCAGTTTAGAGCTCACACTGTACCTGTTGACTAAACCCTAAACCCTAAACTCACCAAGCAGCACAAGAGTCATGGAATTGCAAAGCCCAAGCTCCCGAGAAGGTTGCAGCAGCCTGGAAATTGGGGCTTTCCTAAAGACTGTTCTTTTCTATGGCTCTTTATCGTCTATACCGGCCGGGTACAAAATCGGTTCCCTTGTTTCGGAAATCCCCTTGGGCATTCCATAGCTGGAGCTTCTCGTCCGGCCATGATTGGCTCCGCAAGTTGGATGAGCCGAGCTCTCCGATAACTTAGTTTTGCAACTTTTCTTTTGCAGAAGCTACTCCTTTTTGCATCCAAGCTCATGAATGGTTGGTTCTGATGCTGCCTGTGCAAGACGGTTAGAGGGGCCTCGACCACTCCGTCAAACACCCACCCTGCAACTAAACGGACTGCAAGGTGGAAAGCTGTGAAGGCTCCACTGCTGGCTACTGCTGGTACTACTAGCACTGCTCCTGCTACTACTACTACTACGACGACTACTACAGCTACGTCTACGACTACGACGACGACTACGACCAGCAACAGTAGTAGTAGTTGTAGTAGTAGTAGTCGTCGTCGTCGTAGTCGTGGTGGTGGTGGTGGTGGTGGTGGTGGTGGTGGTGGTGGTGGTGGTGGTGGTGGTGGTGGTGGTGGTGGTGGCGGTGGCGGTGGCGGTGGCGGTGGCGGTGGCGGTGGTGGTGGTGGTGGTGGTGGTGGTGGTGGTAGTAGTAGTACTACTACTACTACTACTACTACTACTACTACTACTACTACTACTACTACTACTACTACTACTACTACCACTACCAGTACTACTACCAGCATCACTTCTACTTCTACTGCTACTTCCACGTCTTTTGCTACTACTACTACTACTACTACTACTACTACTACTACTACTACTACTACTACCACCTACTACTACGACTACTACTGCTACGACTGCTCCTGCTACCATTACTAGGACGACGACGACTACTACTACAACTACTACGACTACGACTAGGACTGTGACGAAGACTGCTACTATAACTACTACTACTACTACTACTACTACTACTACTACTACTACTACTACTACTACTACTACTACTACTACTACTACGACTACGACTACGACGACGACGACGACGACGATACTACGACTAACGCGACTACTACGACCGCTACGATTACTACGACTACTACGACTACGACGACGACTTCCACGATTGCTACGGCTGTACGACTACGACGACTACGACCACGACGACGACTACCTGCGGCCACCACCTACCACGACGTTTCCTGCTTCTAGTTCTGTTGCTAGTCCTCGAACTACATCTAAGCCTAAGCCTGGTTCATGACCCGACAGCTGGTACCCGTCTTGCCAGGAAAGTTTCCTATACTCTAGACTGACCGCCCGGCCCGGGTGATCCTCGGGACCATCGCGGAACCGTCTTGCTGGTCGCACTGCCATGCTGGCATGTCGCTAAGATGTCGGACTTGGCAAGTGTCGGCAGCACCAGCAATCAACGTGCAGAATGCGCAGCACTCGATCTTTGTGAATCCGGACGCTGCTGGCCTGGTCGGACATTGTCTTCCAGCTTGTTTCCACATTGACATGCAGTGCAGTATCACATAGCACGAAGACCAGTGCTTCAAATGACTCGAAAAGGGTTCCTCTAAACATTCTCCAGGCTGGCCGTCATGTGACAAGTGACACCGAAACGGAGGACATTCTTGGCTTGACATCCCGAAGCCAACAAGGTTACTTGTCTTTGTTGCCGTGTGTGTCCAGGACCCCTTAGTCTTCGTTGACTGCAATGTGTGCTGCCTGTCGCCTTTAAAAAGCATGTTGATTGCCTGCTAGTTCGCTCAAGCTGCGATTTTGGCTGTAGGACCGACATGAGCTGCGTTTATTTTGTGGACTATGTAAGAATTCAGGAATTTCGCTGCATCGGGAAATAAGCATTGGACAACTTAGGAAGACGAGCTGTGATGTCAGGCCGATCCCGCGTCAGCTTCAGTCCATACCATCATCTTCATAGCTTGGAGTCACTGGCAAGAACTGAGCCCAGCGCTGCTAGTCTGCTAGTGCCGTCGAAAGCTACCACGTATATTGGTGCCTTTGTCTTCTCGAAAATGCCTGATGTCCCGAGAGATGCTGAAGACTCCCTGAAGACTCGCTGTCGTTCTGTCCCTCTCCCAGTGAGCAGGATCGAGTAGGCAAGAGGATGTCAAGCGGAGGTACTCATCAGATTCACCCAAAAGCCCCGCCCTCCAGCTGCAGCTGTCCGCAAATTGGGCGCAGGGGTTTGGGGGCTTGGCCTCCATGGGTATGAAAGTCGAACTACGAGAAGTGGAGGGCTCCCGTCTACAGTCCTCACTTCTGTGCCTCGCACATGGGTGATGTCCGAAAGAAGGCACATGTCTTCATCCTGCTATTGTAATTAATGCCATTCCGCGCAGAAGTGTGTTCCAACTTGTTTCCAACTTGCTGTTGATGCTAGCATCAACTTCGGAGATCAATACCCTGCATGCTCCACATGTGTCCTGCGAGCTGGTTCGAATTTCACTTCAGACCATGGTTGCTTGGGCTCGCTTGGAAGTTCGCTCGGGATCTCCACCGTATTGTGCCGTGCTATGTGAGTCTGTAGTTGATCCTGTTGACATTCGGGTTCATGGCAAGAAGTTCCCGGCCTTGCATCATGAAGGCACTTTGCACCGGTGCCTGGCAAAGCCAAGTCAGAGTCCTGAGCAGCAGAGCTTCGCTGTATATACCACGAGCGATAGCGGCAAAAAATAATGCATACACACATCTCCACATGTGCATGCACTCGTGTCACATGTATATCTTGTACTTTTGCAGGGCTGAGTGCACTTTGCAAGCTCTGATGATTCGGCGGCGGCCAACTGGAACAGTCACAACTTACTAGCAGCTTCTATACCGTAATTTGCACGGCATCCTTCGTAGCAGCAGGTCATGCTTGCGGACATCATACGGTTGAGGGAGGCAGGGAGACTCCACGTGCGGTGTTTGCATTTCGGGCTTGGGACCAGGTTAATCTATTAGTAGGAATCGTCCGTTTTTGTCCCTGCCACAACTATCGTGTGTCAATATTCCCTGAGATCCAGAAGGCACTGCCATCACAACTGGCTCGCTCACGCACCGCACCTCTTGCGGCCAGAAGGACAATCGTGAACCCTGCAGGGACGTCACGGTTCTTGGGAGATGGTGTTCGCACCCAGTTTGCATTTCCCTCATGTTTATCTAGCTTTGTTATCGCAGCCGTATGTGTCGATCGGTCTCGCTCACGGTTGAACCAGAACTGGAAGTTGACTTTGTAGGACCAAGCTGATCTTGGACATGCCCGTGGCCAAAGTCAGGCCGTTCGTTTTGGGAGCTTCTGGCGCGAGCTGTTTGTTTGGCCACCTGCTAAACTCGCAGTCTGTCGATGAGTGGGCGATGTTTTTTGCTCGCACCATATTGCTGTGCTGTATTTCCAATGCTTTGTAATGAAATCTTGCATGCAGACAGTCTTCACCACACCTTGA